AGTAGCCATTTCACAATAAATGTGTATATCAAATCATAACATGTACACCTTAAATTATGTAAATTTCATTTGTGGATTACACCTTCATATGGCTGGAAAATAAACTTTTTAAAACATGTGAAACATATTCATTGTTGGTAGCAAAACTTAAAAGAGTATAATTAAATCTTGATTAGGAATTTCATGTAACCATTTCAAACATAAAATTTGTATTTGTGGAAGCAACATCAAGAGCCTAAATGTTGAAATTATTTGTATACAAAATTTAATTATACTGGTTTCTTTTAATTGGTTCCTTTTCAGATGGTATAAATCTTCCACACATTATAAACTTAATTTATTAATACTGAATCCCTAATACTTTTTTTATTACCATGATTTTATATATATATATATCTAAATTTTTTTACTAAGCCCTATATAGACAACCTCAACCTCAAATTCCCTCAAGTTTTGCTAGTATCCCATTCAAATAGTATCATTTTCTATTTACTATAATAGGAAAAGCTTGGCAGACTTCTCTAAAATATCTAGCTCTTTAAGCTTTCTCTCTCTTCCAACCCTATCCACAGCATAGTAGCAAAATGAGTAAGGGATCAAAAGAGATCCCTCAGAGCTTGGCTGGGCCTGGCGACTGGCACACTGACCTCAGCTCCACTCTGCAAGCCAAGGAGAGGATCCTCCTGCAGCAGCTGAAAGGGGATGATTAAGAGGCAGCACAAGTCTTATGAATCTTGTCCTAGCATTATGTTTTCTGAAGACAATGAATGATGAACGAAAAGACGGATGAGCTATGATACTCCTCTAAAACCCCTCCTATCCTTTCCTGCCTTCTTTTCTTCCTCTATTCTCTTTCCTGTCTCCAAATCCATTTCTCTGACTCTCTGATGATTCAAACTCTCTTTTTCCTCCAAAGACAACCTGAAAATGTCCTCCACATTGGCTCTGGAGCAACCTGAAGTCTGTCTCCCTTGCTAATATGACCAGGCAGGTTTCAGCTGACACCAGCTGTTTTTACCTGGATTATTTGATGGCTTTGTGTTTTGTTCCAATGATTGTTAGCTCTTTCGGTTCATTGGTATTGGAAATAAATCACATCGAACCTCTTTTGTACTAAAAAAAAGAGAGAGAGAGAGAGATCCCTGAGGATCACACAAGCCACCAGAAGTAGGAAATGTATCTTTGGTGATGAGGACTGAGATACAAAACTGAAGTGCAACAGAGTCCAAAATGCACCAATCACTTTCCATGTGCTATCTTTTCTTTCAGTAGTATCTATAAATACCTCCCAGTGCAATCAAAGGATGCATCTTTATTTGGGGAAGAAGAATACCTTAAAATCAAGGAAGGACCTAGTGGGCAGTAGGATGAAGCTTGGGGTAAAGGAAATTGTGGATGGTTGGCTTTGTATTGTTAAAAGCAGGCATGCACCTAAATAAAATGAGCCCAGGATCTGGCCACCAACCCAACTCTTTTAAGTCCTAAAGAAGAGAGAGAAGAGAGCCCTCAAAGCCTACAAAGCATCTGAACTTACTGGCCAGGGTTGAGGACCACTTAGATTAGGGTTCTAACCCCCCAGTCAGTAATAGAGCACAGTGGTTGGAGAATCTGTTCTCTTGAGGATTCAGCAGAGGAGACTGCAGTCATAGTCAGCAGCTGTGAAAGAGAGGAGCTTGGTCACAGAAGTACCATCTGTCCTGAACTTGTTGAAAACAAACAACTTTAATTACTTTTCCCCTTCTAGATAAGCCCTTCCCACAGACGTCAGTCTTTTCAGTTCCAACGAGGAGTGAAAAATTAAAAGTTTTAAAAAGTGTACATACAATATTTTTAACAAAGGGGTGACCATCACTTCCAATTAAGAAGGAATCTAAAAGAAAACAGCCACATCATCGTACAGGGAGACAAGGCAGCCAGCTAGTTCCTCAAGCTGCTGTCTCAGCACTCCCCAACTCCACACCGCACAGGCTGCGCTGACCTTTCCACCGTGCAATGTCAACTACTTCCTCAGATATTGTCATCATTCATAATCCCAACAAGCAGGTGCTTGCATTACTGTCATATGTGGAGCAAGAAAACAAAGTCACAATTGCATAACTTATCTGTGGTCCCACAGCAAAGGAGGTTAAGAGCAGGTTCCTGCCATGGGCTCCAACTCCACAAGAGTCTATTCTCATCAGTTTTTCTCTTATACATGTCCTTCTATCTCAGTGGGAGACTGAGTATAGTTTGACAGTATCATTTGGACAGAAATCCTAGTGATCCTTTGAATAAAAGGAAAAGAGAATTTTGGTTTAAAAGTCAATGGTTAGGGCCCTCCCTGGTGGCGCAGCTGGTGAAAGCACAGCACTAAGAAGCTTAAGCCACTTCCACATGAGTTCGATCCCTGCCTGCCCTGGAGGTGACCACATGGCGCCGCAGACCTCTCCTGACCCGCCCGCTGCTCTCCTCAGCAGTGTACTTCGTCGATCTGCCTGTTCTGCTCCCCTCTCTGTCTCTGGTGAATCCTCTCACCCTCCACATCTCTGGCCTGTACCCCAGTTCCATATTAATAAATAAATAAATCTTTAAAAAAAAAAAGGTCTATGGTTATGGCCCTCCCTGGTGGCACAATGGGTTAGGACGCAGCACTGTAAGCTGGCCACAGCCACTTCAGTGCAAGTTCAATCCCCGGCAGGGAGGGGACCCACATGGCTGGCAGACCTCTCCTGCCTCCCCTGCTGCTCCCCTCAGCAGTGTACTTCATCAGTCAGCCTGTTATGGCCCCCACTCTGTCTCTGGTGAATCCTCATGGCCCCCACACTGCTGGTCTGTACCCCAGTTCTGTATGATAAATCAATAAATCTTTAAAAAAATAAAATCTGTGGTTAGGACTTTGGTCAAATTAGTTAATCACAGAATCAAAGACTGAGAAAAAAATAAGTGAAAATTTGATGCTTTCTAAACAAGGAAATCTTTATAGATCATAGAAAACATAGCTATGTTTAATAGCAAACATTAATGAGTAAATAGTGAATAATGATAACTTTCTCTCCATAAACTAAAACACAGCTTCAGAATTTTTCTCAGTGGAGTACTTTATTCAAGAATTATTAATGGTATTAGAGAGGGAAACATTTGACTTCTCTTTTGTAATACATGCAATAACAGGTTTGGAGAGTTTTAAAAAATGGTTACTTAAATTACTTTAATAGTAACCTTTTAATTTATTCCCAATACTCTATCTTGGAATATAAGAAAGAAAGTAATAGAATGTTTTTTCCAAACCCATGTGAGTTTCTGAGACCCTCATTTTTTTTTTAATTTATTTATTTATTAGTACAGAACTGGGGTACAGGTTAGAGATGCGGAGTGTGAGAGGATTCACCAGAGACAGAGTGGGGAGCAGAACAGGCAGATCCACGAAGTACACTGCTGAGGGGAGCAGCGGGCAGGTCAGGAGAGGTCTGCCACGCCATGTGGTCACCTCCGGGGCAGGCGGGGATCGAACTCATGCGGAAGCGGCTTTAGATTCTCAGTGCTGTGCTTTAACCCGCTGCGCCACCAGGGAGGGCCCAGACCCTCATTTTTTTTTTTTTTTAAGATTTATTTAATTTATTTGTACATACAGAACTGGGGTACAGGCCAGAGGTGCAGGGGCGGCGAGAGGCCTCACCAGAGACAGAATGGGGAGCAGAACAGGCAGGTCGACGAAGCACACTGCTGAGGGAAGCAGCGGGTGGGTCAGGAGAGGTCTGCCACGCCATGTGGTCACCTCCCGGGCAGGCGGGAATCGAACTCATGCGGAAGTGGTTTCCGCTTCTTAGTGCAGTGCTTTAACCCGCTGCGCCACCGGGGAGGGCCGACCCTCATTTTTTAATAGGACCTTTGAGAGGAAAAAAAGCAATCATGGTCTGAACTCAAAAAATAATGAAAAATAAAAAGTAAGTGAACACTATTTCTATCAGTATGTGAGTTGAGCTATTATATTTGAATTAAATAAAAAATCTTGATTTGGAAGGATTGCCTAGACAATCCTGTAACAGGAAGTAAAAGAGAAATAAATCTATTCAATTTTTCAAGCTCCTCATAAGAGAATGGGGGACAGCCCTCCCCCAGTTTGCTGTGAGAGGTAGTCACACACTTGAACCCTGAAATAACAAAATTGCTTACATCAAAGTATGGGAACAGATCTAGACAAAGACAAAAGTATCCCTTTTCTAAAATGAAGCTTAACCAGATTTGTTCCCTTCTATGATTCTTTCAGAAGTCTTAAATATTAAAAAAAATATATTAATTTAAAAAAGTAAATACAGTAATAGGAGGTTTTCTAAAAGAGTTTCCCTTTTTCCTCTTTTAAAATGTAAATTCTCGCATGGGTAGTCTTGCAATAGCATTAACAGTATAAAGCATTAGCAGAAAGAGTAGGACCAGCATATGAAATAAATTAGAGGGAGAAAGGAACGACCCCCTGGGGGAGACTCCAAGTCGGTAAAAGCGAAGAGACTTGGAGAGAAAGCTTCTAAGTGTACCTTGTAAGTCATCCTAATTTAATGGCCTTTTGGTGCCCACTTAAATTCGAACATTACACGAGGACAACACGTCTATTTCCTGAGAATTTTACCACTTATCAAACAAAACACCCTATCACCCCTTCGGCGATTCGTGGGCTTCCCGGCCTATACTACTGGAGGCCGCTGAAGCTTCCCCACAGCTCAGTTCTTCGTCCACAGAAACACACTTTTATACCCCGTAAACGGACACACCCGCCTCTCCATAAACTTCGCGCCCAGTTCCTTGGGTGAGGTGGGAGCCCCATCCAAGGCTGGCAAACAGTCATTGGGTTCCACCTGGAGAGCTGCGCCCGCCCAGCCGCCTGGCTTTTGGGGCCCCCGCCCCCGCCCACGTCCTCGGAGTCCCCCAGAGTCCCGCCCCTCGCCGCGCCCGCCCAGGGTCTTTAAGTTTCCCGGGGTGGCGCCCAGCAGCCCCGCGGGCCACACTGCAGGCACCTAGCTGCCGGACCCGGCCGATCCGAGGATGGAGAGAAGGCCGCGGAGTCCCTCCAGGGAGCCCCACCGGAGAGGAGGGGGGTCCCCTCCCAAGGAGAGCAAGAGGACGAAGGCCGAGAGAGCTGGCCGAGGCCGCGGGCGCCGCGATGCGAGCCGTGACCCGCCAGCCTCAGCGCGTGCGGGGAGCCCAGTGGAGCCCCGAGCTGCGGCCGCCACCGTGGTGGACGTGGATGAGGTGCGGTGCTCCGCAGAGGAGGGCACCGAGGTGGTGGCGCTGCTGGAGAGCGAGCGGCCAGAGGAAGGTACAGTGGGCAGGTGGGGGGACCCGAGCCGGAGAGGCCTTTTCTAGGGTGTTGAAGGGAGATCAGAGGAGGTGGAGTCATGCGCTCCAGAGGCACAGGAGTCAGAGCAGCCTGCTGGACCTGCGCAGGTTTCCTGGCAATGAGAGGCACCTAGTTAGTATCCACCAAGCAGTGAAATAGTATCCAAGCAGTGAAAAAGTACAAACAGCAGCTGTGGGTAGGAGGTGGGAACGTGGGCCAGGTTGGGACCACTCATCACTGTAGGGACCAGGTGGTTGGGTTTTGTAAACTTAAGGGGATAATCCAGCACCTTCCATGGGTCTGTAGCTGCTGCACCTTTCTTTATCCAGACCCCTCCGCCTTACCTGAAAGCACCTTAAACTTTCTTTGGAATGATCATTCTTTCTAAAAACTAGAGGCAGCACAGCCAAGGGGTGGGGGGGAGTGGAGGGGGGGGTGGAAGCAAGACCTGAGTTTAAATCTCGGCTCAGCTTCCTTGCTGGCATGCCACCTCTGACAGGACCATCCATCAAACCAGGATAAGGACAGTGTCTGCTTCAGAGGGTAGCTGGGATAATCAAAGAAGAAAAGCATCCAAAGTTCTTTGTCCAGTCTGGAGCAAAGAACATACTCAGTGAGAGAAACCTTGCAGGCTAAAGAACGAGGAAAGGTGGACTAAGGAAAGGAATCTGGATTCTGCAAGTACAGCAACTCTTAGGAACAAAACTGTATTTGCTTTCAAACCTTTTTATAATGGACGGAAGAACAAATGTGTTACTCCATAAGTATGGGATGATGGAGGCTTAAAAGAAAATTAATAAGGGAGAGTGAGTTATTCCAATTTCTGCTGGCTATGAAATGTTAACATTTCCTGGGTTTAAGCAACAGGTATAGCTTGTCTCATTGAAAGCTATGATTTGAAAGATTGCTACAGTTGGGACGTAGATACTATGAAGTTAAAATGCTAATATTCTGCCCTATGGATGCCTTTTCATCAGTCATATACTTTTAGTCATATAAGTTTGTTGGGTTCAATTCCAAATAATGCTCAAGTCAGAAGTCCCATAAGGATTTGTGCCTTGGGCCACCTCAGTGAGGCTGGGGAGAGCAAGGACCAGCATCTGCTATGTTCCAGGCACACACTAGGTGTTCTCTTGAATATTATCCCCTTATCAGAGATAAAGAAAATGCTCAGAACTGAGTAGCTTGCCCAAGACCTACATCTGGGAGAAGTCAGAATTCCAGAGTCAACCAGTCTGCCTGGAAAGTCCAGACTTGCTTGGCCCTGCTGCCCCTGAGTCCTGGTCATGGTCCCAGCACCACCACCAACTAGCTGTGACCTTGGGCAAGTAGTTTCCTCACTGTGTGAACCTGTGTGAACCTCACTCAGTCTCTCCAGTTTTAAATTAAGTCCAAGACCCCAAACAGCAGGTGGCAAGTTCTATTAAAGACAAGGCAACCATGCTGAAATCCTCTTCTGGAGGTTTCTGCTATTCCCCACAGGGAAACTTAGGTGCAAGAGGTGACAAAGTCACCTCCTCCTCACTCAGCACCACACCCCAGCCCAGGCCACTCAAGACTTGGGAGGAACAGACAGGAGTTTCACTTCACCAAATGTTGGAAAGTCTCAGATGATGCCATAGTCAAATGCGCTGCTTGTTTTAACGTTTAATGTTTTACTAATCATGTAAAGCAAACAAATTGGATATTCAAGGAACTCATTCCAAGAGAATTCTATGAGTAAAACTTCATGTTAGATTTTAGGTGATAGATACTCATTTTTTGCTCATATCTCCAACTATTACATGAAGGAATTTTGAGACTTTTCCTTACATAAAAAAATGCGATTTCATCACAAATTAAAAAATTTATTTTTTGGGCCCGCCCTGGTTGTGCAGCGGGTTAAAGCACAGCACTAAGAAGCTTAAGCCACTTCCGCATGAGTTCGATCCCCGCCTGCCCCGGAGGAGATCCGCATGGCGTGGCAGACCTCTCCCGACCCACCCGCTGCTCCCCTCAGCAGTGTACTTCGTCGATCTGCCTGTTCTGTTCTCCACTCTGTCTCTGGTGAAACCTCTCACCCTCCGCATCTCTGGCCTATACCCCAGTTCTGTATGAATAAATAAATAAATCTTTTTAAAAATTTTTTTAAAAATTTATTTTTACTTGCTATAGTTACTGCTAGAAAATGAACTGTATCTATGAACTAATTAAATAAGGCACAAACACTTTTCCTGCCCTCAAGGAAGAATATTGTAAAAATATTGATAGAACAGTATTTCCCAAAGTAATTGAAAACATTGGGAAATATTAGATTAAAAAAAGACAAGACTTTTCTGCAGGGATTCTCCAAACTTCCAATATGCCAAAGGACATTGAGGCGTTTACTTTGTGGACCCCGTTATGGGACTGTGTTCCGTGGGATACACTTTGGGAACTGCTATATGATGATATTCAGAGCTGATGCTAGTTTTGCATATCCACACTTTTCAAATGACATACATATCAATTTGGTGAACCTTTCTGGTTGCTTTTCAGCCATGGGAGTCAAATTTTTAGGACTAATTAGTTGTCCTCCTCTGTTCCATCCCATGAAATTAGGCTTTTCACCATTTCTGATCTTTAATCACCATTAGACCACTATTGGATTTTTTTTTATATAACTGGAAAATTGTAAATTCATGAGACTTTTAAATCTGATAAATAGTATCCCTTTGTCCAGTTTCCTGTTACCTGGATACTAAAACTGTTGAGATGCCCACATAATTTCCATTTAAATAATTTTCACTGTCCACTTCTGCTTTTTTTCTATATTCAACAAATATTTATTGAGCACTTATAATGGCACTGTGCCAAGCCCCAAGTACCATGTAAATCAAGCAGCTTATGTTCTTGAGGTCAGCTTTCCCTGATACCATTTCATTTATCACCCAAGTAAACTAGGGTTTTGCATTCTAGTCCTCATCACTTTATTACAGACACTAATGGACAAATATTACCCCATAAGATGATTTTTCAAGGACTGCCTAGGAATCCACACCTTAATGCAAAGGGGCTCTAATGGAGGAATTTCTCACATGTGGGTAAGTAGGAGAAGGAGAAATAATTTTAGGGAAGACTAGTCTTCAAATAACAACTTATACATGAAAAGTACAGCTCAGTGCTTTTTATATACCTATATCATCTCATCCTATGTCAGTGATGGGAGAAACATTTCATGGGATCACTATTATGATAGGTCTGAATGGTTTTTATGAGATAGTATCCCATCATACAGATGGGATCAAAGTGGTCATATGGCTGGCTTAATATCCTTTGACAGAGAAGGTTGAGCCAAAACTTGTAAACCAGACTTTCCGCTCAGATTCTGGGCTATTCCAGTGTACCCCACAATTGCCTTTCTAGGAGGCTCACACCCCACCACACAGAGAATGCCTGGTGCTGTGAACTGACCACCCTGATACCTAGCTCTTCCTAACCTTCCTAGCAAAGTTTACCTATCACTCTGACCATGGTAACAGGGCCTATACTAACAAGCGCTGGTCAGCAAACGTGGTGAAGTTCCATTATAATAATAATTTTTTTTTTTTTTAGGTACCAAATCCTCTGGCTTAGGGGTCTGCGAGTGGCTCCTTGTCCTCATATCTCTGCTCTTTATCGTCGTGACCTTCCCTTTTTCTATCTGGTTCTGCATCAAGGTGAGAGCCCATGAGGCCCAGTTAGAGATTTCTTGGTGCCTCTCACTGGCCGCACAGGCCCCCTCTCACATTCCTCTATGTTGGTATGTGTCAGCTGCTCTGTGTGGAGCACCCTCACCCCACTCACCTCCTTGAGGAGCATTTACTCCTATAACACTTTGCTCAAATCTAAGTGTGAAGCTTTTCTGACTCCACACAAACTGTCATTCCCTTTCCGGGCTCTTATACCACACGGGGTTAGCATCCTTTCTAGCACTTACACAGGTATAGTATTTATTGATATCTAAAACATGACTGAGAATGCCTTCAGGATACAGGTTGTGTCAAATGTATGTGCACTTGATAACAAAGAGACATGTAGACTCTGATGTCTGTTCCTCAATTCCTGGGAACTTCTCAGGAACTTCCATAGACCAGAACTGTCAGCCATCTTTGGGGCACAGTTCAGGTCTGATAATTAGGAAGGGGGACAATTCTCAAGAACACATGCCTGTCACTGAAGTAAATGAAGACCTGTGTCAGCTAGGAAAGCAAAGAACAAGATAAAATTAGAAGTGCAAGAGATTTATTGGGAGGTAGTATTATGCAAGGGGGAAAACAAATGGTAACTATGCTGTAGACAATAGTGACCTGTGCTGTGAGAAGTGGAAGGAAGAATTGAACAGAAAGAGCCTCAGACTGTCATACAACTCCCAGAGTCTTGACCTGCCTCAAGGGGACTCCAGAGCAAAGTTTGGATACTAAAGGAGTCTCAAAATGAGCGAAAGTGGCCAAACCCCAGGCCCCCTGCCATTCTTAGTCTTTGATGGAGCTGCTAGGGATGAGAGAGCCCTTGGCTGGGCCACCATGGATGCTGCCGGGGCTGTTGCTGGCTGTCCTCCTCATGCAGGTTATTCTCCGTTATGAAAGAATGTTAGATTTTTGTCAGATGATTTTTCTGCACCTATGAGGTGATTGTGTCTTATTTGCCTTTTATTCCATTGATACTGGTT